GCGTTGGCGGCGGTGACGGCGGCCGCATACGGCATCGCGTCGACCGGGTACGCTTCGTTGACGCCGAAGAACCGGTTGTCTCTGGCGGGCACGGCGCCGTGCTTGGCCCACTTTTTACGCAGCACGAGGCGCGTGATCGGGTCAATCGACTTGTCTTTGACCCACGCCTCGTAGCTCGGCGGGAAGCTCGAGTACGCTTCGCCAAACGTCTGGGACCAGAGCACAAAGGTGTCCGCATACCCTTTGGCGATGTCGCCGGCTTCGATCGTGTCGTCGTGGTTGAGAATCGTCTGGCGCGACATCAGGTTGCTGCAGAAGGCCGCGTACTTGATCGGCGACGTCTGGTGCGTGTGCCAGACCAAGTTAATGTCCGACGTCGGCACGAGAATCACACCGCGGTCCTTGACCGTCATGAGGTGCATAAACTTGGCGTAGCGCGTGATCGAAGCGGCGACCACAACGGGATGCGTCCAGTACTCGAAATGCGGGCACATTTTGTTGACAAAGTCGAGCTGCCGGAACATGCCTTGGACCAAGTCGAGGTGGAAGCGTCCGAGAGCGTTCTGACGGCACGCCTTGACCGCATCGCGGATCGTTGAGCGCATGGTTGCAACGCCCTCTCGGCTTACCTTTGAGGCGCCGGCAGCGGTTTTTCGCTGCAGCTGCGCCAGGAATGTTGCCCACGTGCCGTCATGAGGCACGTCTGGCACGATCACGACGTACTCGACGCGGCTACCCAGCAGTGTGGTGGAGACTCTGAACCGTTGGTGCTTGGCCACAAAGGCCGCGAGGTTGTACGTCTCGTAGAGGATGCCGCGGCCGCAGGTCGGACAGCTAATAGCTTGGCTCCGGATGTGCATGAGGTACACCATGGACAAGGGCAGGGCCGCGCCGCACGATGCACGGGGGCAGCGCGTGAGAATGTCGATGAGTGGAGGTGCAGATTTCCGGCCCTTGCTGTACAAGACAGGGTGCAGCAAACGCACAGTGTGCGCAAAGTTGCCCAAGACGCCGTTGCTGTAGTAGTCGCGCTCGAGACCCAAGAAGAGCTCGTAGAGACTCTCGACGTCCGGCAGGCCGGCGACGACGTCATACACCTCCTTCATCTCGAGCATGTGCTGCGTCACTCGCTGGATCGAGACTTTGGAGGGCTTGATGCGAAATTTGCCTTCAAGCGCCTCCTTCTTGTTGATGGCGACCGCGACGGAGAGAAAAGTGTCCCATGTGTCCTTTGCCTCGACGGCCCACGTGCCCGAAACGACCGACTTTTCCAAGTGCGACAAAAAGTCCTCGCGCGCCGACGCCGTGGGTGCATTGAGCGTCAACTTGACCTTGCCGTGCTCGAGCAGCTGGAACGGAAAGAAGCGACTCGAATCAAGCGGCTCGAGCAGCCGCGTCGTGCAGTAGGTCGTGTTGCACGCAAACTTGAGCTTCTCGCCGTCCATGACCTCGAGGGTTTGGCCCGTGAGCACGACTTGGCGCGCCGCCCATTTGGGTACCATAAGGACACGCTCCTTGACCTCGAGGTCCACGACGTAGGAGGTTATCATGATGGACTCGGCGCGGGTGAGCGCCATTGGCGTCTCTTGGCCCATGCTGCAAGTTGCAAACTGACGTTGTGCACTCGTGCAATAGTGCAATATGGCGAGCCAATCAGTCAAGCGGACATTGATCGATCGGGCCAATCAGCGCGCTCCAATCTTCGATTGACAGCCATAAGATCACCCAAGGCTCCGTCGGATCACAAGGCGCCAAGCAAGCAGCTCCTTGCGAGAACGTTGACTTACGAACGCCCATTCAAAATGGCCAACGAGACATTATACGTGGTCATTGTATGGACCATCAAGAAACATGGATGCGTTGCTGGGACGCTTTGCCTGGAATGCACGTCGGAATGTGAAGTATCGCATTGAGAAAGATATTTCTTCTCAGCGCCGACTAACGTTAGTTCAACGAACATGCCCGACCGAGACGAATGCAGCTGGCGTTCGTGCCAAAGAAGTACCCAGCCACCCGCGCTAGCGTTTCTCTGCGACTGGAGCAGCATATCCATGCGAACGAGCCCTTGATAACGAGCGACTCGGCGAGCTTGGGATAATCGACGCACGAAGCACACTAGCCAAACGCACCGATGGTGGACTTCAACACGGGTCAATAAAATCAAGCATTTATTGACCCTTGGCTACAGCATTGCGATCACTTGTGCCAGGAAGATCCCATGGAGAGCCGATGAGCGTGAGCGGTACGGTAGACGCGGAGCATACGACTTGTAAACGGTGGGGATGTGCTCGATGTTCTCAGCACGTGCAAAAGAGTTGGAGCCAAGAAGCGATGCGAACCGCCGCCGTGCGAAGAGCTAAGAAGTTGCCATACTTGAGAGCACATTGTCGGGCAATCGAACCAGAGTCGCCGTGTGTGGCTAGTGCCGGCGTACTTGTTGTTGGACAGACGATCGCGAAGAACTGGCAGATCCAGGGGTCGAAGGGGCCATGAAGCCGCATCGCGCGCAGCGGATCTCATCCAGGGGACGACCGTTGTGCGAGAACAGAGTCGTGTGCACGTCGTGCATTGGTGTTGCTGTTGAAGCCCACAATGCAGCCACGACCGGCGTCGAGTGATCGCGGGCAAGGTCTACATCAACGACTGCGATGCTTTTTACTACTGATTGGCTTCGGTATCTCAATCACACATTCAAGTTGACGGCGACTTCCTTATGCGAGCCGATTCGTGTTTGCCTTGTCTTCTTCACCACGAGAAAGCAGTCGCGTGGACCTCCTTTCTTCGACTCATACGTGGACATAAACAAAGTGCTTTCGATCGATTAACGATTAACTCGCGTGTGGTACTTAGCCGCTGCCACAGCCACCGCCGTCGCCGCCGCCACAGCCGCCGCCGTCGCCGCCGCCACAGCCACCGCCAATCCCGCCGCAGCCGCCGCCGATACCAGCGCAGCCACTGCCAATGACGCCGCAGCCACCGCCGACGCCGTAGTAGCCGTAGCCGCCGCAGCCGCCGGCAAACATGAAGGGCATGTAGTAGTACGGGAGGCCGCCGTCAAACATCATCATCGACTGGGCCGAGTACGGCATGCGGACGCGGCCGTCCATGACGGGCGTGCCGATGACCGTGATGTAGATCGGGACGGCTTCGAGCACGCTCTCGGGCTTGACCGCGTTGGCTTCGACCACCGCCGTGGCGTACGGTAGCGCCTCGACGACGCAGGTTTCGTTGACGCCGTAGAACCGGTTGTTCTTGGACGGAACGTTGCCGTGCTTGGCCCACTTCTTGCGCAGCACGTGGCGCGTGATCGGGTCGGGCGACGACGACGCGATCCACGCCTCGTAGCTCGGCGGAAAGCTCGAGTACGCCTCGTGGTACGTCTGGGACCAGAGCACAAAGGTGTCGGCGTACCCTTTCGCGAGGTCGCCACCGGGAATCGTGTCGTCGTGGTCGATGATCATCTTGTTCTTGTTGACGCTGCGCGAGTAGTCGCGGTACGGCCGCCCGGTGGTCTGGTGCGCGTGCCACACGAGGTCGATGTCGGACGTTGGCACAAGCATCGTGACCATGACGCCGACGGCGTCCGTCTCGATCTTGCCCATGAGGTACATAAACTGCTCGTAGCGGCAGATGGACGCGGTGAGGACCTCGGGGTGCATCCAATATTCCGTGTGCGGCACCATCTTGTTGATAAAGTCGAGCTGCCGGAACATGCCTTGGACCAAGTCGACCGTAAACGCACCGATCGGAAGCCGGAGCGTCTTGCGCGCCATGCCCTTGACTTGCATGCGCAGCACCCGCGACGCGTACATGGTGCCGTCCTCGCAGCGCAAGAGCATGTCGATCAAGAGGTCGAAGAAGGTGCCGAACCGGCCGTCGTCAGGAATCTCGGGCGGCGTAAACACCATCGTACCCGTGCCCGTGAGGGTCGAGTACTTGGTGAGGACGCTCGGCGTCGCTTCCAGAAAATCGAGAATCTTGTACGTCTCGTAGTAGAGCGGTCGGCTGCAGCCCGGGCACATCCCGGGCTGCTGCAAAATATGCAGGCCAAACGACATGCGCAGGGGCAGCGGCGCGCGGCAGTTGCGGTGCGCACAGTGCGTGATGATGTCGCCAATCGCCGAGCAAAGGGGACGCTGCTTCTTGCCCTCGGCGTAGCAGATCGGGTGCAGCTGGTGCACGGTCTGCGCAAAGTTGCCGGCTCTCGCTTCGCCCTTGACGTACTCGCGCTCTTGGTCCAGAAAGTACGCGTACAGGTCGTCAATGTTGGTAAAGCTGCCCGTGACGTTGTAAATGTCGATCATGTCTTGGAAATGGCGCTGGACGAGCGCCACGCTCACATTGCTCTTGGGCACGTTGGCGTGCTTGGCCTCGTTGATGCGGCGCGCGACGGACAAGAAGTTGTCCCAGTGGTTGCTCGGCGATTCCCACGCGACGCCAGCGGCCGCGGCTTCGATGCGCCGGAGGAGGTCATCCCGCGCGGTGGCCGTGGGTGCATTGAAGACGGCTTTGGGCTTGCCGTGCTCGAGGAGCTCGAACGGAAACGCGCGCTTGGCGTCGATCGCGGGCAGCACGCGCGTCGTGCAGTTGGTCGTGTTGCAAGCAAACTTGAGCTTGTTGCCGTCGAGCACCTCGAGCGTCTGGGTCGTCAGCGCAATCTGCCGCGTGGTCCACGTGGCGAGAAAAAGCTTGGACTCCTTGACCTCCATGTCGACGATGTACGAGAGATCGTCGTTGGAAGAAGCAGATGATGGCGGTGCGATCGCGCCGTCCAGTGCCTTGCTTGGCACGGGCACGGCCAGCGGTGCCGC